TTCGAAAATGCAAATAGTTCCACAAATGTGTTCTGGACGGAGCTTCGTCCGGACCTGACTCCCAAGCGTCCGGACGGAGCTCCGTCCGGCCGGTTTGGAGGCTCCGTCCGGACATTTGTTAAAAAACGGAAAAAGTTACACGCACTTACTAATTTCCACCGCCTTCCGACGTAGGACTTGGAAGGTCAGTGGGAGGTTTTGGGCATTCTTCCGAGTCGCCCACTTTTTGAGACGTGCCTCGACAAGAGGATGATGTCTGGTGGTAATCCGACAACGGGACTCTAAGGAGGGTGCCAAATTTTGCGTCCAACGTGCACGGTTTTTAAGTATCTTCGAGATGGTCGTTCTACAAGGCGTTTTCCCGAATTTTTTACCCAACCACAAGACAAGTTGTTTGTGGGTCATTCCCTTGTGGCGATCACGATGACGGATTAATGCTCTTTTCTCGGCGATTGTAAGACACGTATTTCGCCTAACTGTCACCATGGCTTCTAACAACGAGACGTGGATGGGGAAATGTAGGTAAGTTTAGGAACTCTCTGGTTGTCGAGTTAGTTGTGAAGTTGTTCTTGCATGGTGATGCTCTGGAGTTGTAATTTTGAATGCTGTGGTTCTTTCGCAACTACGAGACGGATTTGGTGATTGTGGTTGGCAGGGAAAGTAATGCTTCGTGGCAGTTTGTAACACCAATTACTGGTTCGAATGCATTTCCCCAGATTGTGGGGGATTTTCGGACCACTCTGGAGCTGCCATGTAGATGTGGTACCCCCCTCTAGCTGCAGTCTTACGTTTATGCACTCCGCCTGAAATGTGGGATGGCGTGGTGCACTGGCCTTGGTGAATTCCTTCGTGCAGATGACCTGTCATTGTTTGACCATGGAGCTCGAGCTGAGCACGTGCATAGACACGTCAGATGTGTTCACCAAAAGCAGCACCCTACCCAGACTCTTCGAGTCACGACGGAGGAGGGGGTGAAAATGGTGGGATTGAAATTGGCGAGGACCGTGTGTAGCACAAGAAGCAATACATTCTAGATTTAAAACCCTAATTCTTTTGGAGTGGGCCTTGTTGGCAACAATATAGATAGGGGTAAAGTGAAATTTGTTACCAATCCTGAATCTACGTAATCAAACGCGCTAAACGAGCCCGCCCTAAGGGCGCGTAACCATTTTGCACCCGACGGTTCGAACCGTGGACCGTCCGGGTGGCGAAAAGGTAACAGTATTCGCACTATTTCGTAAGTGTGTTCGTGAAGGTGTTGGCGACATCGCCAACTTAACGGACAGTCGTGACACTTTTTCCCATTTTCTACGGTCCGAAATCTGAACCGTGGACAGTCCGAATCTCAAACGGACTGTCCGAATTTCCTTGCATCCGATTGGTGCACGACGTAAAAATTCTCAGGCATCTCGTCCACCAACAAATACATGTGATGGGATTTCGCAAATTTACATCGACCAACCAGAGACAACTTTTTAGAACAATGATTCGACAACGAAAAACATGACAACCGTGAATCACGTAACGCTTGTACAATTGTCGCGAAACTGTACAATAGAAGAAAAGTGTCACAACTGCCTTCGGACAGTCCGAAGTTGCAAATTTTCACTTCGGACGGTCCCGTTTTCAGTAAGTGGACCGTCCGCTTCGTTTTAAGCGGACTGTCCGTCAAAATCATAAAATGCAAAATGGTTACGCGCCCTAAAACATGTCAGTGTTGTGGCTAGCTATACACCTAGCCCGCGCCAAATTCACTAGGGCCATTTTCACCCCCCCCCCTTGTCGCTATGTGGGTCAGGGAGGTTGGGTGCTGCACAGGGGCGCCCCCCACAAACCCCCCTACAAAACGGCCATTTCCCCCCCCCACTACAGACAAGCTTGACCAGTGCGGGGGGGGGGGTGAAAATAGCGCAGGCTAGGTGTACAAATGGTTCCGCTATAAAGTCCCGCGCTCACAAAGTCCCATTTTCAGAATGAGGAGCTTTTTCCTTTAATTCCTAGGTGTGGCCCCTCCTCTACAGTCCCTTTTTTGACCAGGTTCATTGCACGTATAAGTGCCTTGAACATTTACGGAGAATGCTAAAAAGGGCAGTTTTGTTTTGAAGTAAACATTTACAACTGATACTTTTTGTTTCTCTTGACCGCGCTTGTTTCTTATTCCCGTCGCGCGATTCCTAGCGCGCTCCACGATGACATCTCAGTAATCTCGCTGACAGGAAGGAAAAACAAAAAGACAAACTTATTATGGCATCAAACATAATCGATGTTGTTTATTTCTGCCCGTTTTTCACGCATCACTGATAACGCGTAAAACCGTTCGACGAGAAGTTGAAGCAAGCGCGGTCCATACGTACGTATATGACAAAAAACAACAACCAGTAGAGGCCAAAAACCTCTTTTCATGCAATTTTCTCGAAAATGGGACTATAGGGTCCCGTTTGCCCGGGGTTTCGGACATTTTGACATATAGTCCGCGCGCGGCGTGTTTCTCCGTCGGACTTTAAACGAGAACAACTGTATCCAGTTGAGATTCTGTTTCGTGGTTGAGAAGCCACTGGCTTACGACCGCATCGGATCACATTTACAGTACTTGTACTGTACATCTGTAACACGCCACTGGACGGTGCTGTAACACGGTTGAACTACAGTATCTTCACACTGGCCATTCTACGCCTGACTTGGCACGGTTGCTGACCAATGCCAGGAGTGCAGAATCTACGACAGCCCAGACGAGTTTCATTTTGGACGATATTCTGCTAGACATTTACGGATACAGTTGGTTCTCAGTATTAAAGCACCGAGTAGCCTTGCATTACTGGACTGCAACATGTTTTGGCCATTCGCTGAATTTCGGCCATGTCGCAACGGGCCAAAGTGAAAGTGGAATGCTTTCATAACTCAGTCAACATTACTGATGACTTATGCGATGAAATATGCGACCGGAAGCCCTTGTTCTTTATGCATTGTCAACGTTGTAAACTTGGTGACGGTACCTAAACTTAGCACACTGCTCAATTTAGTCAATATCATGGGGAAAAAACGTTCACGAGTGACTAAATTTCTGAGTATCATGCGCATTTTTACTGGGAAAAGGTGAGCATCGACTGTATAGTATTCAAGCGCACATACATTCGGTGCTCATTACAAGAACTCCTGGTAGCATGGTGGTATCAGACTGAAACGTGCGGGCGAATAGTACCTTCGCCCTTGTCGCTGCGGGCGAAAATGAGACAAGGGGTCGACAGATCCTTTTGATCCTTTTGATCCTTTTTTGGGATCAATCGTTATTGACCGTCGACCGTAAATCCTTGTCCGTCGGGCAGAAATTTAAACCCTCTTGGATGGCATGCCATCCGAGGGAGACATAAACAATAAACTCCATGCGCTAATGTGTTTAAAGCCAGGGTCTCAAGTAAGCAAAGCAGCCATCAACTGCAAAGCAGTTGAAGATAGGTTACCTTGTTAGTGCAGGCGAATTTCTCTTTGGTTGGGTTGGAAACCTTCTCCCGTCAGTGCCTCAAAAGCAATTGCACAACAAGTTTTGAGTACGTGAGACTTTCGACGAGTTTGGGGCATTTTAGGTTTGGTTCCGAACCAAATTTACAAACCTAGAAGGTTCGGCTACACCTAGCGATTTGGATTCGTTTCGTACCCCTCGCTTCACCCCTCTTCAAACTTCACAACTCGCCAACCAATCACACACAAACTTGCACTGTCGACTGCAAAACACTTGTAGTACATAAGACCCTGGCTTTAAAGTTACTGCTTCCCATGATGCATGCCTTTTAATATAAAGTTTGTTTTCTGACCCACCGCATCCACCGCGGCGGTGATCACTCCATTTAATTCGGTGTGGCTGTAAACTCATGATGTGTCTTCCTAAACCCGTCCAAGACAATCAATTCTCGGGAGGGGGAGGCGTTTGCTCCATTGATTGTCACAAGCCCCCCAATCTGGCAGATTCGCCATACTCGAATCGACACGTGAGACCAGGGCTGGCTTGGTTGGGCGCACGCTGGGAGGAGGAACCGTGGCAGGGCCCAGCCCAGAAGCCAAAAGAGCAGCCATGCCATGGCCAGGTCTTTTGGCATTCAGTCACGTTCGGAAAACGCATGTATGGTAGCCTCCCCACGTCCTTCGCCGGATGGGTGAAAACGCATGTATCGTATCATCTGTGCCCAGCCCGGCGGGTAGACCACGCTCGTCCCTCGTTCGTTGTGTGTGCGGTACTCGTGTTTCGTCACGGTGCAAAACGGTGAAGCCTGATAACCACTGTCCACCGTCTAGAATCGTCTTGCGCCACGCGCTGGACCTGCCCTAAGTTACAGTATGAGCAAGCTTGTGTTGCCAATGAAGGGTTTCGCAACTCCCATCCAATAAAGTCGAAACCCTTCCACACTTCCGTTCACCTGTTGCGGTTGAGTACGATGCGGTGCAATATAGAGTGTTCCGTTTGCTTCATCGCTTTGAACTGCGACTCACCGCTCTGAACAGTGATAAACCCAGGAACTGAAAGTGTTCAGGCTCTTGAGCCGCCCATAACTGTTTGTTGCGCGGGGAAGGGCTTGGGCGGTGTGAACTGTGCGTTGCGTGGATGGCGGCTTCTATTGCACAGTCTTGAGCGTAAAGATCCTAGCGAAATATTTTAAACACTGGACTTCCCGTGTTTAAAACTCGTTCGGCAGCTTCATGACGTAGCACGGATGAAATGACTACTAAGTCGTTCCTACGTTTGGTATGAATTTACTCGAGACTACGTGTCGGATTCGAGGTTTGCGTTCTAGAGCGGTTTGATAGCCATCCCGATTGTTGAGTAGGGTCCTGATCGAAAACGGACTCTTGTCACATTCAGCACCACGCACTCATTTGGCTTAATTCTCTCGGTCCTCCAAATGACTCCTCACCTCAACGGTACCGGCGAAGGACGTGGGGAGGCTAGGCAGCAACAACTTTCCCCTGGTAGTAGAATTTTCCAGACTGCGAGGAAACCGTCCAAGGCGATGGAGAGTCGGAAGGTGGTGCGGCGAATGGGTATGGCGGTGGCGGTGTGGATGGGGCTTGCGGGCGTGCTGGCGGGGCTGGTGGCGTGGAGGGTGCAGAAGGGCTTCGACGACAATCGCAAGGCGGAGCTCGACACCTGGTGCGCCGGTCGCGCGCGCTCGCTGCAGCAGCAGTTCATGCTCACCGCCGACCACGTGCAGGTACACGCCCGACCACGTGCAGGTACACGCCCGACCACGTGCAGGTGCACGCCCGACCACGTGCAGGTACTAGACGGCCGACCACGTGCAGGCACAATTGGCCGAGACAGCCATGTGCAGGCTACTGCTAGGCGAGAAATGTGTTGCTTTGCCTTCAACGATGCGTCTAGATGTTGGAACAAGTGATTCCTTTCAACGACGCGGACTCCGCGTACGGCGGGAATCGACGGAAACGTTTCTTCCGTCCGTGCGCCGTCAACCGGCAGCGGCCGCCTTGACTACTCCTGTCACGTCGGGCTTAGCATCTTCGGCGCCGACAATCGCGGCGGAACTGCCACTAAACCGCCGGCGGGTCGTTCGCGGCGCTCATTTAGGCTCGCCGCTCGTCTGCTCACACAAGCTGATCCGGCTTTGCTAGGTCATCGCCGATAAAGATTTGTCGAGCTCGCTGTCCAGCAGCTGCATTCTCCACTCGAGTCTAGTAGGCTGTCTCTTAATCGTCTAAATCGCGGCGTTGCCGCCCGTGGGCTGGTGTTAAGGCATCTGCTGCGCCTAATAAAACCCTCGTTTTGACCCAGGTGGTAGAGAGGCGTTATACTGGAATCAGAGCCTACGGTTCAAATCCCGCGTGGTCCACATTTTCCGCTTGTAGCAAGAACTTGATTGTGGTTACCAGCGAACGGTCCTCCGCTGGTCTGAGCCACTATCGAAGTCGCTGCTAGCAACACATCAAAATCGAGTTCCTAACTGTAACTGTGAAATCAAGGGAATATGGTCGTAACTGTGTAATCCCCTGCACCGCACTGCTAAAATCGCGAGCCGTGTGCTGTGCGAGTGAGCTGCGGCTGTGCGAGTCAGCTGCGGGCTGTGCGAGCGGCGTTCCGCCCCATGATGAACGGACGTGCCCACCCATTCGCTCGCCCCCATGCGATGCGCCCCCCATCAGGTGCTGGCGGGGCTGGCGACGGTGTTCGGCGGCGTGCGGACCAACCCCTGGGCGGTGGGCAGCTGCCTCACGCAGCGCCGCTTCGTGCATCTTGTGGAGCGCACCGTGGCGGCACAGCCGTGGGTGCACGCCGTGGGGTACATGGCCATCATCAACGGCTCCGACAGGTCAGCTTTGAGACGTCTCAAAAAGTGTCTCATCTCAGGCGGCGCAGCCCTGGGTGCACGCCGTGGGATAAAGGGCCGTCATCAACGGCTCCGACAGGTCGCCTCATACTCCCCCCTCCCCGTCCTCCCCCCCTTCCCCTTCCTCCCCCCCTTCCCCTTCCTCCCCCCCTTCCCCGTCCTCCCCCCCTTCCCCTTCCTCCCCCCCCCCCTTCCCCTTCCTCCCCCCTTCCCCTTCCTCTCCCCCTTCCCCTTCCTCCCCTTCTTCCCCCTTCCGCTTCCCCTACCTCATTTTCTTCCTCCAACCCATTCCTCCATATCTCCCCACCCTGGCCCCTTCCTCCCCTCCCTCGCCCTTTTCCCCCTCCCTCGCCCCTTTCTCCTCCCTCTCGCCCCTTTCTCCCCTCCCTCGCCCATTCATCCCCTCCCTCGCTCCCCTTCCTCCCGTCCTCTCGCCCCCGCCATCCATTCTCTGTCTCACATTCACGACAGACCCATGGTCGTGCAAAGAGAGTCCCTTGGTTGTTGTGAGGCTCTGAGTAAGTGCTGCGCCATGCTGCGTGGAAATGAAGTGACCCTCTGCAATGAAAGGAAAAGCTCTTTGCAAGGGTTGTATGAAGCGTTTCAATAGTAATTCGCCTTGATTCTTCCCTAAACCCAGTTGTCCCCATTTTCTCTCTCGTTCTCCCTCTCCCCCCCACTCCTCTCCCCTCCCCCCCACTGCAGGGCGGCCTTTGAGCAGGCGGCGCAGTGCAAGCTGTTGGACATTGTTGGCAAGCCGGCCCCGGAGGCGGATTGGTACATGAACTCGCGCGTGTGGTTCCAGGAGAACCCACCGATACCGCTGCTCAAGATGACCTCCACGTGTGTGAACGTGCGCACGCACCCCTCGTACGGCCCGCAGCTCTCCCGCATGCACCAGCTGCCCGCCAACCAGCTCAACATGCCCTACGTACTGGACAATGGCGAGGCTGGCATGGGTGCGTGGGAGAGGTGTGGGTACGTGGGACTGTGGGAGTGGCGTGGTTGAGTGTGAGGGACGTGGGTGAGTGTGAGGGACGTGGGTGAGTGTGAGGGACGTGGGTGAGGGCGAGGGACGTGGGTGAGTGGGTGTGAGTGAGTGTTAGTACATCTGGTAGCATGCTAGACTACTGTGACTGTACCCCACCTGTGGTGTACGTGCTCTGCTCACATGGACACACACACAGACACACACACACACACACACACACACACACACACACACACACACACACACACACACACACACACACACACAAGCACGCACGCACGCACGCACGCACGCACGCCCGCCCGCCCGCACGCCCCTGCGCGCGTGCGCGCTTACGCCCATGCTCACGCACGCATGCACGCACCCGCGCACGCACGCACGCATGCACGCACGCACGCACGCACGCACGCACGCACACACGCACGCGCTCGCACACGCATGCACGCACGCACGCACACGCTCGCACACGCACACCCACGCTCGCACGCTCGCACGCACGCACGCACCCACCCACGCACGCACGCACCCACCCACGCACGCACGCACCCAGCCCAGCGCACGCGCACCTAAACACAGAAGTTGCACGAGAACAACCTTGGGGGCACGTGGTCGGAATCAGCCCAGAGGTTCCAGCGACGTGGAGAGGCCAGATTCTGGCCCATGTGGGAGCAGCTGTGGACGTGCTCAGCTCAAAAAGCTCCTCAGCCTGTGGCCTGGAGGAGTGAAGTGGGGCGAGGAGTGTTTGTCCAAAAACTTCTCGCAGTCCCTATACTCTTGTCCCTTCCCTTCCCACTCTCCTTCCTCTAATCACTTTCCTCTTTATCTCTCCCTCAGTCACCCTCGTCGTCCGTGACCCCTCCCCTCCCCTATTCCCCCCCTCTCTCTCTCCCCGCCAATGTGCGGCCAGGCATGGGGTTTCCAATCTTCAGGGACGGCGTGACGGCAGCCTCACCGCTGGAGGAGAGGCGGACGGCATTGATCGGCCTGATAGCGGCGTCCATCGACTTCAAGAGCCTCGCCGCCTTCATTATCAGCGAAGTGCTCCGCCAAGGTGCGCCCATGCTGCTCCCTTCCCTCCACTAAGTTGCAGTGCTGCTTTGCTCAAATGCTTGCTGCAGAGTGCTGTTCACATAAGCAAGTATACCACCATGCTCAACCCAAAACAAAGGCTTCTTTTTGTGCTGCTGCAGGCGCGGACTATTCTCTGGAGGTGTATGACGTCACCCCCACCGATATCCTCCCCAACTCCTCCACCCCGCTGGGCCCGCGCCTGCTGTACGGGGTGGGCGACTTGCCTGAAGGCGACCCCATGCAAGTGGCCAAGCTCATTCCCCCGTCTAATGAAACCATGCTGCAGCCGCACCGACACAAGTCAGTGCAGCAGATCAACCTCACAGACTCATCAAGATCATACCAGCTCTGGTGTCGGTGAGTGCGTTTATTAATCCACTTGTTTCTTTCGTATGTCTTGTCGCTCCCCTCCCCTCCACCTAAGTTGTACTTGACACTAAAAAAACGCTTGCGTTTTCACACAAAACGCGAAACACTCGACTTTACGCGCGAAACCCTAAACTGCCGGTTTGGCTTGTCGACTTCCCGGCTCGTCGCGGCTCGGTCTGAGCTGGTTCGGCTAAATCCAACCCAACCCTTACATAAGTCAGAATCTCGCCATTAAAGTTTCTTCTTAGATAATCAGCCCATTCGCCTGGTTTTTTTTCCCGGCCCAGACTTTTTTCTGCCTGCCCACCCAATCGTAGTTCTAGTGTCTATGGTTTCTGGAATCTTGAGTCCAGCGTTTTGATGCTGGGAGCCAAGACGCTGGACGCGCCAATTCCAAGATAGCCTTCCGACACATCAAAACAGCACACCCCACTTTCTTTCAAACCTCCATTTTCATTATATATATATATATATATATATATATATTACCCTACTAATGAGGTCACAGCTTACCCCATGCACTCCTTTTCTCGCAGCTTCAGCGGGGCCGACGAGGTCGTCAGCTGGACGACCGTGCTGCTGGCGGTGGTGATCATGGTGGTGGCGGCACTGCTGGCGGGCGTGGGGGTGAGCGTGGCGTGCAACACACGCGGCGTGCGGGAGAAGGTGGCGGCGCTGGCGGTGCTCAAGGAGAGAACGCAGGCGGCGGAGCGCAACAAGAGTGCCTTCATCGCCAACACCGCGCATGAGCTGCGCACCCCCATCATCGGCCTTAAGGGTGCGTGCGTGGGGAATGGGGCGAGAAGGGTGCGATGGGGCGAAATGAGTGATGAGAATGGCTGGTGAGAAGGGTGTGGGTGGGAATGGGGCGAGTGGGTTTAGGGGTTTCTGAGAGGGCTCCAAGTGTGTTTCAGAGCAACAACGAAGAGCACTTCCTCATCCATTTTCAACCATGCACGGAGTAGGTGCTGCTGTGCATGGAGTAGGTGCTGCTGTGCACGGAGTAGGTGCTGCTGTGCATGGAGTAGGTGCTGCTGTGCACGGAGTAGGTGCTGCTGTGCATGGAGTAGGTGCTGCTGTGCACGGAGTAGGTGCTGCTGTGCATGGAGTAGGTGCTGCTGTGCATGGAGTAGGTGCTGCTGTGCACGGAGTAGGTGCTGCTGTGCATGGAGTAGGTGCTGCTGTGCATGGAGTAGGTGCTGCTGTGCACGGAGTAGGTGCTGCTGTGCACGGAGTCTCATTGTCATGGTCACGCACTGTGAACGATCGTCATATTGGCTGCTCATGCAGGGGGGTGTGAGGCATGTAATGTAACTCATGTTGTTGATGGTTACGCAATAAGGGCGTTTGTGATATTTTTTTAGGTTTGTATAATAGGTTGAACTTTGGGTGGTTACCGCTTTCGCCAATGTCGCCGACACCATTTAGCGAAGGGCGCCATAAATTTCCAGCTGCCAAATGCGACCACCAGAAAGTGAACAAGTTTCGAGTCAATGCACAAACGTGAGAGTGCACGTTGAACCGAACATGTGTGATTTTGTGCACGTGGTGGAAAAAAACGGTTGTTGAAAATAACGATTGTTTTTTTTTTTTTTTTTTCCTTTTCTTTTGTATTTTACGGTGCATATTGGGAAAAAAACTGCGTTCTTTTGTTAGAAAAAAAAGAACGCCAAATTTCCAAAGATGCTGTTTTGAGCAAACAAACGCCCCACAGCATCTCTTGGTGCATCAGCAGCACTCATAACGGCCCTCTCATTCTATTTAAGAAAAATTGCCGATGTTACAGCAGCAGTTAAGAGATTTCCTGAAAAAAACGATGGTTCCTCCCAAATGCCACATTTTTTTGAAACCGTTTTTTTGTCGTTTTTTACGATTGATTTTTTACGATACGGTATTTTACGGTCAAAATTTGAAACAAATGTTGTTCTTCTACACCTACGGTACGACGAGCTAGCGAAGTAAGAGAAACGTTCGTGCACAAACGAACGCATCGCACGCGCGTCGTTTACGTGGCGCGATATCAAATCGATAACACCGGGTAACCTACCACGGGCGGCTCGGTTCACTCCCTAAAAGCTCGAACATGCACTTTCGAACATGCAATTTCGAACTTGGGTGTGTGATTGTGCTTCAGCTATGTGCCCGTCGCGCGGTTCGAACTTCGCTCATATCGAAAATCGAGTCATATTCACTTCATGTTCAAATGCTACATTCGATTCCAAAACGTAAACTTATGCCTAAAACAAAAATCACACACGCCCTAATGCCCTGTTTCATCTGGATTGCCCCCATTGCAATGCAAGGGATGAAGTATTGTTGTGCCCCCCTGTGTGCACCTCTCTTACTAAATTCTTGGTGCTCTCCCCCCCCTTTCTCTCCCCACAGGCATGTTGGTGGAGCTGGCGGAGGGGCACCCTTCTTACTGAATTGTTTCCCCCCCCCCTGTGTGCCCCCCCTGTGTGCCCCCCCTGTGTGCCCCCTGTGCCTCCACCTGTCCCCACAGGCATGTTGGGGGAACTGGCGGAGGGGCGGTTATGCTGACACCCCTCTCACTGAATTGTTGGCACCCCCTGGTGTCCCCCCCTCACATTCCCTCTGGACCCCACAGGCATGTTGGAGGAGCTGGCGGAGGGGCACCCCTCTTACTGATTCTCTGTGCCACCTCCCCTTCTCCCCTCTCCCCACAGGCATGTTGGAGGAGCTGGCGGAGGGGCACCGCTCTTACTGATTCTCTGTGCGCCCTCCCCTTCTCCCCTGGGCGCGCAGGCATGTTGGAGGAGCTGGCGGAGGGGGAGGTGGACGGGGGGCAGAGGGAGGACGTGGGGACGGCGGTGGGCGAGGTGGAGCGCATCGTGGCGCTCATCAACGTTGTGCTCGACGTCTCCAAGGCCGAGGCCGGCCGCCTCCACCTCGAAACCCTGCCCTTCCACACGCGCTCCTGGCTCAGGGATGCTCTGCACTCCCATGCCTGCGCCGCCCACGCGCGCAACCTCACCTGTAATCATCTTCCTCACATCCCGTTCGCTCCCTTCCAGCCTTGCCCCTTCCTCTGGCGTTCACACCGGAGACTTCCTTGCTCCTTTTCCTACCACCTATTTTCAGGCCCTTCAACCTCTCCCCTGTCACTCGTGTTTCTCGAGTGCCAGATTGCTGTCTTTTGTGCTTCTCACTAACGATGCTTTCATGCTGGCGTCTCTGAATCCCTGTGCATGTGCCGATGCCCAGTCGCGTGCCGTGTGGATACGAGTGTGCCCGAGGTGCTGGAGGGGGACTACATGCGCCTGCAGCAAGTGGTGGACAGCATTGTGGGTGAGTCAAGTGGTGGACAGCATTGTGGGTGAGTCAAGTGGTGGACAGCATTGTGGGTGAGTCAAGTGGTGGACAGCATTGTGGGTGAGTCAAGTGGTGGACAGCATTGTGGGTGAGTCAAGTGGTGGACAGCATTGTGGGTGAGTCAAGTGGTGGACAGCATTGTGGGTGAGTCAAGTGGTGGACAGCATTGTGGGTGAGTCAAGTGGTGGACAGCATTGTGGGTGAGTCAAGTGGTGGACAGCATTGTGGGTGAGTCAAGTGGTGGACAGCATTGTGGGTGAGTCAAGTGGTGGACAGCATTGTGGGTGAGTCAAGTGGTGGACAGCATTGTGGGTGAGTCAAGTGGTGGACAGCATTGTGGGTGAGTCAAGTGGTGGACAGCATTGTGGGTGAGTCAAGTGGTGGACAGCATTGTGGGTGAGTCAAGTGGTGGACAGCATTGTGGGTGAGTCAAGTGGTGGACAGCATTGTGGGTGAGTCAAGTGGTGGACAGCATTGTGGGTGAGTCAAGTGGTGGACAGCATTGTGGGTGAGTCAAGTGGTGGACAGCATTGTGGGTGAGTCAAGTGGTGGACAGCATTGTGGGTGAGTCAAGTGGTGGACAGCATTGTGGGTGAGTCAAGTGGTGGACAGCATTGTGGGTGAGTCAAGTGGTGGACAGCATTGTGGGTGAGTCAAGTGGTGGACAGCATTGTGGGTGAGTCAAGTGGTGGACAGCATTGTGGGTGAGTCAAGTGGTGGACAGCATTGTGGGTGAGTCAAGTGGTGGACAGCATTGTGGGTGAGTCAAGTGGTGGACAGCATTGTGGGTGAGTCAAGTGGTGGACAGCATTGTGGGTGAGTCAAGTGGTGGACAGCATTGTGGGTGAGTCAAGTGGTGGACAGCATTGTGGGTGAGTCAAGTGGTGGACAGCATTGTGGGTGAGTCAAGTGGTGGACAGCATTGTGGGTGAGTCAAGTGGTGGACAGCATTGTGGGTGAGTCAAGTGGTGGACAGCATTGTGGGTGAGTCAAGTGGTGGACAGCATTGTGGGTGAGTCAAGTGGTGGACAGCATTGTGGGTGAGTCAAGTGGTGGACAGCATTGTGGGTGAGTCAAGTGGTGGACAGCATTGTGGGTGAGTCAAGTGGTGGACAGCATTGTGGGTGAGTCAAGTGGTGGACAGCATTGTGGGTGAGTCAAGTGGTGGACAGCATTGTGGGTGAGTCAAGTGGTGGACAGCATTGTGGGTGAGTCAAGTGGTGGACAGCATTGTGGGTGAGTCAAGTGGTGGACAGCATTGTGGGTGAGTCAAGTGGTGGACAGCATTGTGGGTGAGTCAAGTGGTGGACAGCATTGTGGGTGAGTCAAGTGGTGGACAGCATTGTGGGTGAGTCAAGTGGTGGACAGCATTGTGGGTGAGTCAAGTGGTGGACAGCATTGTGGGTGAGTCAAGTGGTGGACAGCATTGTGGGTGAGTCAAGTGGTGGACAGCATTGTGGGTGAGTCAAGTGGTGGACAGCATTGTGGGTGAGTCAAGTGGTGGACAGCATTGTGGGTGAGTCAAGTGGTGGACAGCATTGTGGGTGAGTCAAGTGGTGGACAGCATTGTGGGTGAGTCAAGTGGTGGACAGCATTGTGGGTGAGTCAAGTGGTGGACAGCATTGTGGGTGAGTCAAGTGGTGGACAGCATTGTGGGTGAGTCAAGTGGTGGACAGCATTGTGGGTGAGTCAAGTGGTGGACAGCATTGTGGGTGAGTCAAGTGGTGGACAGCATTGTGGGTGAGTCAAGTGGTGGACAGCATTGTGGGTGAGTCAAGTGGTGGACAGCATTGTGGGTGAGTCAAGTGGTGGACAGCATTGTGGGTGAGTCAAGTGGTGGACAGCATTGTGGGTGAGTCAAGTGCTCGACAGCATTGTGGGTGAGTCAAGTGGTGGACAGCATTGTGGGTGAGTCAAGTGGTGGACAGCATTGTGGGTGAGTCAAGTGGTGGACAGCATTGTGGGTGAGTCAAGTGGTGGACAGCATTGTGGGTGAGTCAAGTGGTGGACAGCATTGTGGGTGAGTCAAGTGGTGGACAGCATTGTGGGTGAGTCAAGTGGTGGACAGCATTGTGGGTGAGTCAAGTGGTGGACAGCATTGTGGGTGAGTCAAGTGGTGGACAGCATTGTGGGTGAGTCAAGTGGTGGACAGCATTGTGGGTGAGTCAAGTGGTGGACAGCGTTGTTGGTGAGCCACCTGGGCTGAACAAGTTGTCGTGTTCATTGCCACTTGATGAACCCAAATTACGTGTTAGACTTCTCTTGTTCCCTTCCCATCACACAACTTTGGTCCCATTGCTCCTTTTGTTTGTTTGTTTGTTTTTTTTTTTTTCAATTTATTTCTTTATTCATTTTCTTTCTTTCTTTCTTTCTTCCACAAATGCTACCTGCTGCAGACAATGCCATAAAGTTCACGACCAGCGGAAGTGTGTGCGTGCGGCTGCAGTGCCTTCCCCCCGACACCCACATCCCCACCCACCTGCTCTCCCTCGGCTGCCTCGTTGCTGAAGCCATCCCCGGCTGCTCCTCGCCTGCCGCTGCTGCTGCTGTTGATGCGGGCAGTGCGGGGGTGGCCGCAGGGCCGGTGTCATGGAGGGAGCATGTGGAGCAGCGCGGGCTGCTGTGGGCCGTGATGGGCAACTGGGACCCGCAGCCGCTGCGCAACCAGCTGGCTTCTCTCAGCGCTCGCTTCTCCATGAGCCCCTGGCGCACACCCCTGGGCGAGGGGAGGGACCAGGGTGAGGGAGAGGGGGAGGGGGAGGGGGAGGGGGAGGGGGAGGGGGAGGGGGAGGGGGAGGGGGAGGGGACGGGGAAGGGGGAGGGGGAGGGGAGGGGTGGGGTTGAGGGGAAAAGGGAGGGAGAGGGGCAAGGAGACGAAGGGTGGAGTGATGCTGAGCGCGAGCGCAGGAAAGGTGAAAAGGTTGCGGGGCAAGGCAGAGGTGAGGACATGGGCGCAGCAGTGCGGGCAGTCGGTGGTGGGGATACGACAGGAGGAACATGTGGTGTGAAGCAAGGGCGGAAGGAGAGTGATGGGAGGAAGAAGGACGGAGAGGGTGGCATTGGTTGTAGAGGAGGTGAGGGGTCTTCATTGATGCATAGTGAAGAGGAGGAGGTGGATGCCCAAGATAGTGCGTGTCCATGTGTTAGTGCACGTGAGGGGGGCGCGTGTGAGGGTGGCGCGTGTGAGGGTGGCGCGTGTGAGGGGGGCGCGTGTGAGGGGGGAGCGTGTGAGGGGGGCGCGTGTGAGGGGGTTGCACGGCTTGTGTGTGAGGGGCGAACGAGTGAGAGAGGAGAATGTGGGGTTGGTGGCACATGTGAACCAGGGAGTGCAGCAGCATCAGCAGCAGCAGCAGCATCAGCAGCAGCAGCATCAGCAGCATCAGCAGCATCAGCAGCAGCAGCAGCATCAGCAGCATCAGCAGCAGGTGGTGGCGGCACAGGCTCATGGAAGGATAGAGTGGGGAGGTGGTGGCAGGGGCCTGCTGAAGAGGAGAGCACGGTACCGTTGTGGGATGCTGAGAGGCGCTGTGTGGTGCTGCTGACGTGTGAGGACACGGGGTGTGGCATCGCAGAGGAGGAGCAGCGCGACGTGTTTCAGGCGTTCATGCAGGTGAGCCCTGCCCCTCATGCAGGTGAGCCCTGCCCCTCATGCAGGTGAGCCGTGTACCTGATGTCATGCACATGAGTAATATAGTTTTCTCTCCCGTTTTTGCCAAAATTTATCAAAGTTTCTAGTCGAATCGCAATTCTTGACCTGATATAAATCTCACGGCGGACCTATGTGGAAAATAGTCTCACACCATAAATTCTCATAGTAGCCCCAACAATAAATTTGAAGCATGACCTTTGGTCGCTCCGAACTTTCTGATTCTAGCTGCGGACCAAGCACAAAATCTTTCGCACGCGCATACTACACATGCAAGGTGGAAACATAAGATCGGAAGCAGACGTAATCTGATGATAGATGATGCCATCACATCACAACAAATTCACCCAGTTCGTTACAAATTGCTCGCCGTGGCTCAAGCCAGTCCAGTATGTCATTGACCGAACCCTGGTCAAACATTTGCTCCTTTGTAGAATGGAAGGGAATGTCGTCTTGCTAGAATGGAAGGGAATGTGTTCTTGCTGGAATGGAAGGGAATGTAGTCTTGCTAGAATGGAAGGGAATGTGGTCTTGCTATCTTGCCTCATGGGCCAAGTTGCTTGCTAGTTTTGATGTTGGCGATTCACTTTAATTCGAGTGTTACCTCATTATGCTCCCTACTTGAGTGCATGTGTTCACTCAATGTGCTCCCTCAATCCGTTCCATACGGAATGCAAATTCTTGGCTGGTATGAGTGCACCACGTTTGCTTCTTCAAGGATGGATCATCCGCTCCTGCTTCATCACTAGTAGTGCGCCTCCTTCCAACACACCACCCCCAACAGGCACACCAGAAGAGACATGCGCATGGCGGCAGCGGCATGAGCCTTCACTTGTCTCGCCAGCTGGTGAGTCTGGTTGAGTCGGACGGAGTGGAGAGGACACGTACGCGAAGAGATGTCAACTGTTTTACATCCTTTAGGTGCAGAATGATGGGATCTGAGCGGTGAAGGTGCAGCCAAGGTGGATACACGAATGAAGTTCCTTGGTTCCCTTCTCCCTTGCCTAGCCCTTTTCTCCCTTGCCTAGCCCTTTTCTCCCTTGCCTAGCCCTTTCTTCGTACCATGGATTTTTTAATCCTTCATCGAGTATCGCATCTCAAGTGTGTAAAGCTCAGCTTGTCTGCTTCATCAAACCCCTCCGCTGTCGCAGGTGTCCCTCTTGGGCGGCAGCATGGGTCTGCTCAGCACAGAGGGCTTCGGCACCACTCTGCATGTCGCGGTGCCCCTTGCTGCCACGGCATCTCCTCCACCTTCTGCTGCTGCTCATTCCCCTGCTGCCGATGCCACTGCTGATTCCGCTCCAGCTGCCAATGCCACTGCCGATGCCACTGCCGATGCCACTGCTGATTCCGATGCCAGTGCCAGAGTGGGCAACAGAAGCTTGAGTGCGAGTGAGGGGCTGGGATGTGGAGAAGCAGAGGGCACAGGCACAGTGGAGGGCACAGGCGCAGTGGAGGGAGGGGTTAAGATGGTGGTGAGCGCCAAGGAGGCTCTCAAGGAGATGCTGCAGGGCATGGCGATCCTGGTGAGGTGCCAGCAAGGGCAGTTCGCTGGGGTATTGGAAAGAGGTTACGATGTGAATGATGTGTCGGAGTTCCCTGGATCGATCCTTGTTCTGCTCGTTGTTGTCTTACAATGTCGCCAATCCTGGATAATATTGCCAAGGACTCGTACTGGGTAGTACGTAATCACACAGGCGTGGTTTATGTGTTACACTTGGCAAGCTGAGCGTGATTCTCTCCAATGTGGATATCAAGCAGGTGCTGGACAACAATGCAATAATTTTTTTTCTTTCTCTCCCTGCCCCTCGTTCCCCCTTCCTCTATCCCCATGTGGTCGACTGCAATGGCCCTGTCTGCTCACCCCGTCCGTTATCACCCAGGTGCTGGCCCACAACATGGCCCACCACATGCTGTCTCACGACGTCTGTTTTCATCCCTGTTGATCAACCAGGGCGTGGATGACACCACCATGCCACCCTCCTCTCTTCCCTCTCAACCTCTCCTTCTCAACTTCTCTGTCTCAACCTCTCCCTCTCAAGCTCTCCCTCTCAAGCTCTCCCTCTCAAGCTCTCCCTCTCAAGCTCTCCCTCTCCAACTCTCTTCCTTTATCAACCAGGTGGTGGACGACAATGTGACAATGCGACCCTCCTGACGAGTCTCTCAACCTCGCGCTCTCCAATTCTCTTCCTCTATTTTTCAGGTGGTGGACGACAATGCCATCTCCATCCCTCCGCTCTCATCCCCTCTCTCCCCCCTCCCTTAACCCCCTGTGGTGGTCAGGTGGTGGACGACAATTTGATCAACCGGCGGGTGGCGGCGAGCACGCTGGCGCGGTACGGGGCGGAGGTGGCGCTGGCAGAGTCGGGCGAGGCGGCGCTGCGCCTGCTGCAGGCACGCCACTCCTTCCGCCTCGTGCTCATGGACCTCCACATGCCGGGCCTAGATGGCTTCCAAGCTACCACCCGCTTGCGTGCCTTCGAGGCCGCTGCTCTTATGGCCCGGGAAGAACAGGGAGAACAGGGGTTGCAGCGCATGCCAGTGGTGGTGGAGAGTGGGGCAGAGGGCGGGGACGGGGAGGGGGGCTGGCAGCCGCAGCAGCGCGTTCATGTGGTGGCCATGTCAGCAGATGTGGACAGCACTGTTGCTGCCCTTGCCACAGAGGCTGGCATGGATGGTGCCGTGCAGAAGCCACTGAATGAGAGAATGTTGCTGCAGGTGCTCTCAACATTGTTTGTGAAGAGACGGAGGTACAGAACCCACTCAATGTACTGACATTGGTAATTTATAAGCTAACGCAGGAGCGCTCGACGCGAATATGCACCCCTAATTCTAACACATCTTGGTGCATTACTAGTTTTATTAGGCTTTACTCACGCTGCTTGAAGCATCCAGGACTGACGAATGCCCTGCTCGCGACAGAATCCAGCGAGAACGCCGGAGCGAAACTCACCCCCACGGTCAGAGTGAAGACAGCTGACACGACGACCACGAGTGTCCTCAGTGGTAAGCAACCACCTGATCAGCGTAGAAGTCACCTCAGACTTCTTCGCCAGGGGAAACACTGTGGTGTCGTGGGAGTAGTCGTCAACGACCACTAGAAAGAAGCTCTCTCGCTCAGGGCCAGGGCGAGAGGCGGGGCCCCAGACGTCCAAGTGGAGAGTCTCAAAGGGCTCGGTGGCCGGACGAAGGGAGGAGTGAGGGGTGGCGCGCAGCCGACCCTCGACATAGGGACCGTAAGGTGGTGCAAGCGACGGCAAGACACGCGGGAGGCCTAAGACAAGACGCTGACTAGACATAGTGCGCAGGCGAGGAATGGACGGGTGCCCCAGCCGGTGGTGCCACAGAATGGTGGGGTGGGCAAGCAACCGGCAGGAGCAAGACGCAGCAACTGGACCAGACACGGGAACCTGACCAGACACAGCTACCTGGTGAGACGCGGCAACCTGGTGAAACCTCTTTATGTTTAACAGTTATTGTAACCTTTAGTGCAATTCGATACAGGGACGACCCGGGTAACTGCTCAATGTCGAGTTCAGTTATTTGTCCTTGCTGTCGCGCTGTCTCGGCGAGTCAAAGGTCGCTGACCTTTGACCTTCGCTTTAACTTCTCGTTACTGTCAACCGCTTTACTGTAGCTCGGTTGGCTCGATGTTGCTTCGCTTAAGGCTTGTTTGGTTCTTGTTGTAGTGCTCGATATTCCAGAAGCGCGTTTACACGTTTCCACCACTCCCCTTCGCTTCTGGAGTGTCGTCGCATTCGATGTTGGTGATGTGGCCTTGTCCAGTCACCAGCATGCAATACTCGAACTTCTGCTTTCCGAGTTTCTTGGTCAAATAATCGGCTGCCATCTCGGACGTGGGGCGGTAGGGTAGCTCGAGTCTTCCTTTCTCGATCTCGTCTTTCACGAAAAAAGTATCGCAGAGCAATGTGCTTCGTCCTGTTAGCGAACCCGTTCTTGTTTGCTATGCGGATTGCCGATTGATTGTCGCAGAATCAGCGGAAGAGAGAGCAATTAGCTCTTGCTTGCTCGACTGCCATGAGATAGGACCGACAGGCTCGAGCCGGTAGATGTAGCCGGTGCGTGATCACCTATTGTCAGAATCGCCAGCATGATCGGCATCTACGTAGCCGATTAGTTTTGGGGTCGTGGATCCGGTCTTGTGATAGGTTAAGCTGATCGTAGGTGTACTGACGAAGTAGTGTAGTGCGCGGTCGAGTTCCGCAATGTGTTCGGCTTCGGGCCTTTTGGTGTAGGTGGCGAGTTGGCTCGCTGAGTACGATAGGTCTGGTTGGCAGGTGACGGCTGCGAATAGCAGGCATCCCAGCTTCCGTTGGTAGTCGCGTAAGCCGGCAGGTCCGAGTGGATTAGACCCTTCCTGATGATTTCCGGCGCTGTAGCGATAAGGCGTGGAGATGGTGGCAGGCGTTAGTACGAAGCGCTTTGCGATAGTGTCGGCGTACTTTGCGGCGCTGAGGTAGATTGTATTTTCTCCGTCCAGGATATTCAGCCCAAGGTACTGAGTCACGGTGGAAGAGACTGTGAGTGAGAGGTCCCGCTGAAGCTCCCCTTCGAACCAGATGGTGACGTCGTCGGTGGAGCCGATGTAGAGCAAATCGTCCACGTAGACGATAAGTAGGATGTAGTCCGTTCCTTTCGTGAGTCGGTACATCCCCTGATCATGCGGGAGCTGTTGGAATCCGATGCGGATTAATCGAGCGTGTAGGTACTACTGCCACAGCCGCGGAGCTTGCTTGATCCCGTACAGTGACTTTAGCAGCTGACAAACCAGGTTAGGGTCTTTGATGGAGCCGTGCAGCTGCTCGGCGAAGATTTCTGCGTCGACTGGGGCGTAGAGAAAGGCGTTTGCTACGTCAATTCGACAAAGCTTCTTTTGTTTCATGACGGCGACGGCGAGAAGAATCCGAAGTGAGGTATGTCGGCTGACTGGCGCAAATGTCTCAGTGAAGTCCCGTCCGTGCTGTTGGTCGAAGCCACGCACGACCCATCGTGCTTTGAACTTGTCAATTGTTCCGTCTGCTTTCGTCTTCACGCGAAACACCCACTTTCCCGTGAGAATGGTCTTGTCGCGTGCAGTTGTGATTGGGACCATTTTCCAGGTGTTGCGGTCTTCCAAGGCCTTTAGTTCTCTGTCCATGGCTTCGCGCCATTTTTCCCTGTGTTCCCCCCCCAGAGCCTGCTGAATCGTAGTAGGCTCTCGCGGCGGCGATGCTCCACGGACGGCAGTAACAAGACTAAGTATCTGCAGCCCACTTTGTGAGAGTCGAGGGAGATTTGCGTCCTCGGGATAAACTGCTTCGTCTCCCGCTTCTGGATCAGGTAAGACGTTGGGGCCGATACAGTCGGAATCGTTGGTGTTGACGGATTGTGGTGTAACGTAACCGTTGTCAGCGAGGTCGTAGTAGACTTCGGCGTTGACAATTTCGCGAGGGTTGTCGTCATCCATCGGGATGGGTACCGAGCAGTAGGGCAGAGGTCCGGCTTATTCCGAAGCTCCGTCCACATTCTGCTCATCCCAGTCAGCTTCGTCAACTGACGAGGTGAAGGCTCGCTTGCCACGGAAGCCACCTGTGGGGTCTCGTTCAGCTTCCAGATTGGCCAGGTATGTCTGAAGGGAGAGTCGTTCGTAGAAGATAATGTCACGTGCTGCTACTGTTTCCTTCGAGTGGATGTCAAAAAGTTTCCACGCGTTGTAGTGTTTTTCGATGCCCAGGTGTAGCCCCCACTGTGCGCGTTGTGAAAATCGTCCGGCTCGCGCAGTGTGCGGTCGGTACTGTACCATGCAGCCGAACACTCGTAACATTTTTGTGCTGCCCAATTTCCCTGTCCACAGCAGATGCGGTGATGTGTTGTTTGGAAGTGAGGGCGACGAGAGCAAGTTGTGCAGCATGACAGCATGGTCCATTGCTGCAGGCCACTGGCTCTGGGGTAGTCGCATGCCATGTAGCAGCTTGCGCATGGTGTTCTGGAGGATCCTGATCATCCTTACTGCTGCGCCTTGCTATTGATGAGCGTAGGGAAGGGAGATGAGCCTCTTGATGCCTCTCTCCGCCAGGTACTGCTTGAACCTTTGTGAATGGTACTCTCCTTCCCCATCTGACAGGAAACTTTTCAATTTCTCGCCAGACTCTCTTTCTGCTACTATAAGCCACGCGACAAAGGCTTCGAAGGCCATGTCGCGGCTTGGCAAGTTGAGGTGCCAAACATATCTTGTTGCAACGTCGATGAAGGTGATTACATAGTTGTAATCTCCTTGTCCACTGTCGCGGGCGTACAGAATGTCGCTGTAGACTTTTTCCAGTGGTGCGTATGCTGGCGTGCTCGGGTTGTGGTGAGAAACAAACGGCTGACGCGGTAAGTCGGCTTCGGGGCAGGTAAAGCAAGTTCCTCAAACTCGTTCTAGTTCTCTGCCGTGGAGTAAGAGTAGCGAGTCTTTGTCGAGAACTCTTGCTCTTATCGTGTTGTTGAGTGTCGTGTTGCTGGGGTGACCTAATCTCTCGTGCCACAGTGATTCGTCGGTGCGATGTCCAGGTGATCGTATGTACAGGTCGGAGTTGGAGTAGAAGCCGACGGCGGCGTTGGCACTTCGGTGGATGGCGCGTGGGACGGGAGTCAGCTGTCGGTCTAGAGTTGGTGTCGGTTCCTCGAGAGGAGGTGGTGCTGTTGAAGGTCATGCGATAGGGAGGTTTGGTGCTGGTGTTGGTGCTGCTGTTGTCTCTGCTGCTGCCGATGTTGTTCCTGCTGCTTGCTGTTGTTGCATCTGCTGCTGCCGATGTTGTTCCTGCTCCTGTCTGTTGTATCACGGCGAACGCTCTCATCCGTTCTGCCTCAAGTATACTGTGCGAGTACCAGAAGCCCTCGGGACTGAAGTCGGGGTCAAGATCTGGCAGATGTGTCCAAATGGTGAAGTTGATTATCACGTTGTTGTCTTCAGTGCCTTGGTCTGGGACGAAGTCGAGCACAAGGACGTTGTTCTTCAGGACCGCCTTCCCGATGTAAAGTCCGCCCTACCCGTGATACAATTTGAACTCCTGAGTGGTGCTGTCGGCTTCGAGGTGGATCCCCTTTGCCATGAGTAGGCTGACGCTGAGTAAGTTGTACCCGAGTCCTTCTGCAATCAGAACTTTTGACATCTACAAGATGACGTTGGTCTCACGAGACTGAAGTTGGACTATCCCTTGTCGTCGTGTGCGCAGGTTCTGGTTGTTGGCGACGGTTATCAACGACTTCTCGGTTGAGACGTTGTTCCCGTTGGACGAAGCGATTTGAAGAGCACATGTGTTGTCCGCAGCAGCTGTCCAAGAACCAAGTGTCTTGGGCAGACGGTTCACTCTGGGCGATGGCGGCGTATGTCGGATTTGGTTCCAGCGATTCGCGACGAGGAGTGCGTTCGTCGAGCAGTTCTTCTGATGAGTAACTCGGTGGTGATTCAGTAACGCAGGAGTATGACTTTGCCATGCAGCTTACGATGTTTCTTGTTCCTTGTGCAGGTTGTGACGTTGAGGGCTGTACTTCGCTGGGAGGTTGTGGCTGTGTGGAGGCCACCTGATTGCTTGAAGGTCGAAGTTCTCGTCGTGGTGGCGTTGATTGCTGCTGGTTTGGCCAGTTGACGCGGCAGTGTCCAGACGTTCGACAGAGGTGGCAGAACGGTGGTACGTATCTTCGAGCTTGGTGCTCGTGTTGTCGGTTGTTGTTGTTGTTGTAGCGTCGCTGAGTGTGAAAAGCAAACTCTAGTGCTGATGTCCTTTTCTTGT